ATATGCAACTGCATCCAGCCCTCATATGCCTTCCAGCAATTTCGAGAAATGGAAAGTACTAAAAATATCTCGGTGACCGAATGAAAACTATGTATATAAGACCGGAGAGAGAATTAGTTTCTCAGCTGTTTAGTTCAGGATAGATTCGGAATGTTGAGATATCACTGTGTGAGCTTCCTCTTCTGATGCGCTTTGCATTGCATTATGTTTAACGTTCTTGGAAGTTTGAAGTGTAACTACTAGCTGTACTCTGAGATACTGAGAAGAGCTGTACGACTATTTTTTTGGAAAGTTCTAGAACTGTACAGTGTTTCTGTTGGTAAAATAAATCTTATCAAGCTATCATCAGTTCTGTGACATTTAATATATTACGAACCAGTACGACCGCAGCGATATGTTTAGAACTCCCGATGCATTATTTAGCGTTGGCATATATTTATTTTCAATTTTTCATCAGTTCATCACATCAATATTCAGTTTTCTTAGTAAAATGGCTCACAAAACACTTTTTTTTAAAATTATTAATGTTTTGTGTGTTAACTTTATTTATTAAATATCAAGCTCTTCGCACTGACGCCAGATAAAATTCAATTCAACAGCAAGATAAAAAATACTTAAAAATCAGCTTATGTTTAAAATTCTCGATAGAATGTTACAGGTTGCCATACTTATTTTCATATGCGCTATATTATTTATCTAAGAACTAGCACCTCGCACAGAGAGCCGCCTAAAATAGTTATCACAGAGAAGAAAAAGTACATAATGAATTCAACGACTCCAGCTAGTGTAACTTCATAAAAATATTGAATATTTCTAATTAGTCATCTCATGATTTTAATACATGTTTACTTAAATTAACCACATTAAAAAGGAGACAAAAATATTCTTAAGAACTGTGTTTATTGCTTTCAAATCGCTTAGTTTATTACTCAGTAACCTTCCAGATTTAATTTGAAAGTATTTTAGGCTTTGCTGAATAGCAAGAAGCTGCCGCGTGGAAAATAAAAGTATTTTGTTTTCAGCCGCAGCAACACACCGCTTTCGTTTAAACAGTTGAGTTTATTAATTAAAACTGAAAGATAAATATCTTACATTTTTCCGAATGGCAACTGTCTCATGCGCTGGAGATAAAAATGCTTTATTTCGAACAGTGCTGCAACTGCGTTTTCAAATTATTGAGTTTGTTAATCAAAAATTCATTAAAGTATTACAAAATATGAAATAAAAAATAACAAAACAAATTTGAAATTCAAATTTCGGGCTTCCGAATGCACATGCTCTGCTGGAGGACAACTTTATTCCAAATTAATGGCTCTAAGTACTGTCGTTTTTTCATAGTACGAGGAACATACATACATGTATGAATATTCTTCATTACTTAATTAATTTCTTTAAAAATAATACCGGGCGATAATATTTGGCGGCTGCAATCTGAAAAGTGATACGCCATTTATAATAAACCAACACAAAATCCCATTTCGAGACTAATAGCCCCTTCTGGGCCAACAACAACTTAAGAGTTTCTTAGGTACTATTATTAGCATATTGAGGTAATCTTCTTTAATTTGAAAATGGAAGGGGGAGAAACTGAAAAACTTTTTTAACATTGAATGACATTAAAAACTGAAATATTTTGCATCGGTTTATAGAGAAGAGAAACATTCGAAAACAACATTAAGTGCACTTTAAAATAAATGTGCGATCGCAGCTTGATGCTGTACGTTATGCCCAGCAGCCATAAGCTTACAGATATCACAGTTTGATAATATGTTACGTACTTTAAGAAAATGTATTTAACACAGAAAGTATGCAAATCCGTAACCCATTTACCTACTATATAGCCATCGACTTTCCCCCGAATCTGCTTGTATCTGAAGAAACACTTTTTTATTCCATGCACAGGTTTATTTTATGATCCAAAGTCTTAACATGTTCGTAAAATGTAAGGCAGGCTATAATTTTATTAGGGCTCTCAGCTATATAAAGTTAAAAAAGCACTACTTCTAAGCAAGGCACGTTCTGAGATGACAGTCGTTTCATATTTAACTGGATCTCTTTAAAGAGAAAATGAGAACTGTTGTCAAAGGGTCAACTAAGCATTCGTATTCATAATGCAATTAATTTAAGGAAAGCCTGTACACAGTTATTAGAAGTTGCATTGTAACATTTAGAGGTCAATGCCACACAAATAAGCTAACTCATGTATTTCAAGCACTGAAACTGCGTTAACTTTCTCTGTCGTGTTCTTGAACATTCTTAACAATTTCCCTCAGAGAACAAGAGCTTTTTTTCAAGTCGATAACTACTTTTTCTCCCCCTCCATGCTTTTTAATTTATGGTTGCTCTAATTTAAAAGATTAAATTTATTACCCACAAAAGGCCTTAAAGGTTGATTCAAATGGCTTTGATATACATGAACAAAGATACCGAAACGGGATTTTTTTCTGTTTGAAGAAAATTATGATTAATAGTTATTTTTAATTTTGAAACCTTTTCCTTTAAATTCTTGTTTTCCACCTACAACTCCCTGCTAGAATGAGAGTTTAGTGTCGCGTCTTAGGTAAACGATGTAGAACAGTATTTAATAGGATGAGTGTGTATTGAATGTACAAATAGGTTATTAGTTTTTTTTTTTTTTTTTTTTTTTAAACTTTTAAGCTTTATTTAGAGAAATTGGAAGAATGTATTGTATTCAACGTATTCTCCATCGTCAGCTACGACGTTTTCCCCATCTTTCAAGTAGCATACGGATTCTACGTTTAAAAAATTCCTCGTCTTTTGACGCGATCCAAGAACCAACACAATTTTTGGATTTTTCGTATGAAGTGAAGTGCTGCTCGGCCAAGTCATGAGTCATCAATCGGAACAAGTGGTTTGGTGAATACGGCGGGTTGCATAGGACATCCCATTGAAGCGCCTCCAAAGTTTCCTTGACGACTGTTGCAGCATGTGATCGAGCGTTGTCGTGCTGAAAGATCACTTTGTTATGTCTTTTGGCATATTGGGGGGTGTTCTGAGCTTCAATGTTCGAATTCATCAACTGTTGTTTGTAACGTTCCCCAGTGATGGGGGATGAATCTTGGTCCATTAAACCTCTCCAACTCAGCATCTTCAAACTTTAGTGGCCTTCCTTCGCGTTCTTTGTCGCTGGCGTCAAAATCGCCACCTTTAAAGCGCCGGATCCAGTACTCGCATGTTTTTAGCATTTTCCCCATATGCTTCACACAGAAATCGCACAATTTGAAGAAAGCTGCAGTTTTCTTCATATTAAAACAAAAAAAGAAGAGCTTCTGCAAATCTTATTTTGCTGTAGAAAGGGTGATACGGGTTGAGCCCAAAAAAAATGTTTGCATGATTCTATTAAATTATTAAGTTAAAAAGAATGAGTGAATTCAATGAAGACTATAAAAAATCCTATTTGCAATATTAAGGAGCAGAATTGACTAAGAAAATTCCCATACTAGTAATAATACCTTTTTAAAAGTCTACGATAATCCAAATTAGAAAAACAGTTACAGTAAAAAATAAATAAAAAAATTCAATATTCATGGGAAATGTGTTAAATCATAACAGAAATGCACTGGATTTATAAAGATAACTATATGTCCTTTACACTACATAAGACGTCCTTTTCATAAAGAAAATGAGATAAATAGTCAAAGACAGCACAGAAGATACAAAAACCCTACTGTGCCAGTTACAAAATATCTTTTTGTGTTTGTGTGAACGGTGCTATCTCCTCGTCTAGAAATATCCATAGCGGTATTCCGCAAGGGTCAGTTCTAGGACCTTATATGTATCTATTTTATGCTGCTGACTTTCCTCAAGAATCTCAAAATAACGCTATTCTGGCCTGTTATGCAGACGACACTGCCCTGGCAGTAAAGTCTGTTAATATGAATCACGCCATCAAAAAACTACAAGATGTCATTCCTAGCATTGAACGATGGTGCGCGCAATGGAAAGTCCAAATAAACGCAGCCAAATCTCAACTTCTCCTCATACGCAGAAATAAAAGGAACAAACACACCTGTCAAAAGAGGACTTTATCTATTTAACGAAATTGTTCCAATTGTTCCCCATGCCAAGTACCTCGGAGTGATTATAAATGATCGCTTAACGTGGACTAACCATATAAATTACGTCAGGGATAAGGCCTTACAAATTATCAAATGTCTCTTCCCAATTATTGGTAAATACTCCACTCTCGACCTGGGAAAAAAGCGGCTCATCTACACGTCTGCGATCAGACCGATCATGACTTACGCCTCCCCAGCGTGGGCCGCCCTGACCAAAACTGACCTCAATAAATTATGTGTTGTGCAGAACCGCTATCTCAGGATTATTACGAATGCTCATTATTTCGTGACAAATAAGTGTCTACAAGATGACCTCAAGATCGACCCCTTAGATAAGTTCATCGCAAAGCAAAATCGGAATTTCTTCAGAGAAGCCCAGGACTGCAATCATATGCGTCAATTTAACCTCTTTGAATATGAAATATTGCACGAAGACAGGCACCTTAGACCATTTACTGCATTTATCCTCAATGAAAATCAGAACTTTCCAACCTAAGTTTTTACCCTGTGTTTACTTGGAAAACTGAAATGCTTAAAGTTAAGCAGCCACTATCGGGGTCAAGGCACGGGAGGGTGACCTCCCACGGGACTACGAACTAAAGTCTTCTACTGCTTACTGTAGATCTCTCACTGCTCCTATTGGTTTCAAATTTCTTTTATTTTATTTAATTTAACTTTTAGTTTACTGGAAAGTATGTTTTTATGTCTCTGCAATTGAATATTTTGTAAATAGCAAATTCTCATGATTTTCGCATACACGTCTCAACAGCCAATCAAAAGACCTCTACTAAGAGATATCTTTGACTGCTTCTGCTGGACTCCCTGCGGAATTTTTACTTTTGTATATAGTCTTTCTAGTTGTGAGAAAAATGCACTTTGATGAGTTTATGCACTGAATATTTGTAAAAATGCACACTGTACCTGAAACTCGGACCAGCATCTCTCCAGCCTACCAGACACCGCTATAGCCTCACGTGACAAAGTAGTCACACCTTCTTTCATTTTGCATCCTGTCCTCCGGACACACTCAAGCATTTGCTATACCTGCAATGTACTTTTTAATTCATGACAGCCGGTATACAGCTTGCTATCAGCAAGCTACACACGGCAATAGTGGGAAAAGGAAAAAGGATTACAAAATATATGGTATTAGGAACATCTTTTATCAATTAAAATATTCCTGCGGATGCTATTAAAATTATATATCAATTGGATACACAATGAAAAATATGTATCTAAAATTACTTCACTGAAGTAAACTATTACAAAAAGTTAACAAACACTTGTTAGTTAACATATAAGGTGACCTGAGCATATCTTATATGTTAACTATAAGTGTTAGCACAAAAGAGTGTGCAACGCACAAAATATAGATAGCATTTTAGTTTTAAAATTAAATATAAGTACATAGATGTCCAGCAAGCCTGTTAATTAAACAGAGGCTGAAGGTCAAGAAGATCAACAGATATGTCACCCATGCGGAGAAAATTTATATAGATACTTAAGCTTAAATTTAAGCACACTTGTACTATCAAGGCTGTTGGTTACCAGTGATTTGATGAGTTGGGGATCATTTGAGATCAGTCTACAAGTCACCATTAAGGGACGGTGCAATTAATTTAAATCGATACTAAAAAAGTCACAACTAAAAATTGGGAAATAAACTAATAAATCACGGACCTGAGGCACTGAAGTGATTAATTTAGATAAATTTTTACGATTAAAATGAACATACTGGGTGTCTGTTACCTGGGGCATACTAGTTGATGCTCACTTTTATAAATCCAATCAGTCACTGATTTGCTGTGGTGCAATACATTTAAATATAATTTAAAATTAAAACGAAGGATACTAATAAATTCAGGGCTGTTGGCCACCAGTGCCCGTCAATGCTATTCGCCATCGTTAACTAATAGTTTTAAGGTAATATGAAGTTAACTAACGAAGCAACAGTGAAGGACAATGCAGTAAATTTAGATATGCGTTTTAATTAATATTAAATCAAAGCACATCAGTTCTTTCCAAGATTGCTGATCGACGGTGACCTATAGGCTGAAGGTCACTTAGGATCAACCCACAGATCACCAATGTCAGATAGTACAGTAAGTTTATATATCTATATAACTTAAATCGAAGAATACCGGTGCATTTCGAAAGGTTGGTCATTGGTGACCTATAGGTTGAGGTTCACTTGGATCAACCCACAGGTTACTACCGCGCAGCAACGCAATCAATTTACTTGTATGTAGCACTTCAAATTGAAATGGAAATGAAGCACACCAGTGCCCGTCAAGGCTGCTGGTCATCAGTGAGTGCCCAAAGCACCCATCAAAACTGTAATAACCGATGAGCTACACGATAGTCATAGGTTACTTACGCTTTATTCTCCAAAGACTTGTATTTACTGGCGGTCAATAGATATACGTCACTCGTGCAGGTGACCGTAGAAAATTTAGATGAACTATTAAAACTAAATAAAATTAAGAACATCATTAGCTATCAAATCCATGATTGCTTGTTACTGTCTACGGTATGGGTCATTGGTGATCTATGGATTTTCAGTGTAGGGCAGTCCGATATAGCTGCACTTGTAACAGTAACAACACTTGCCAAAGCAGTGGATGTTATAAGCACTTAAGTAACATAACGTACTGCCAAAATTAATAATGTTCATAAAGTTTGGAGAAATTTCGCTATGTTTCTGACGCCAACTAAATAAAATAAGATTCGCAAAAAGAAATAAAATAAATCATCTAAATTAAATTTCCAAACACTTTTTTAAAATATCAGATTTTATTAGTTTACGCTGCAGTATCTACAAATAGTTCTTAAATTTAATTGTCTTAGTATATCGTAAAAAAGGGGGGGCGTTCTTAGAATTTAATGTATATAACTTTAGAAACAGTATAATTTCCTCACCAATTACATTAACAATTCGCATTCGCTAAACAGAATAAATCTCTTACCAAGGATACTTAAGCTTCGTATTTGCTAAGATAAAAAAAAACTAACGAAAATACAAACATGACTCTACTATTGGGGGTGACTAAATAAGTCGGCTGCATAAGGTATCCATCATCCCTACATGTGACGTGAACAGAAGCCAGTTTCTTTCAGAAAGCTCTTTAAAGGTCCCCATATTTTGCCGCCATACTAATGTAATGTATAAAAACGCTCCTGAGACTTTTGTTCTTTTCTTACTTTCAAATTATTTCGGATAAAGGAAATATGTAACTTTTTAAAGTAAGATATTTGGAATTTTTTAAAAACCTTCCTTTTATGGAAACGGAAAGGTAAAACTAGTATGTATCACTGAAACAATCAAAGTGAATAACAGATGTAAAAGAAATATATAAACAGAAAATTTAAATTTTCAGCCTGGTATTAATTTTAAAGAAGTATTTTGGATATTGTGATAGAATAGGATACTGATCTCCCATCAAGAAGCAAAAATGTTCTATAACAATAATTATTAGCGCAAAATGTTTACTCCTTGCTTCAGATTCTCTACAAATGTAAACAAAATATGTGTAAATCTCTAATAAATCAGACTGGATCGCAGTTAAAGTAATAAACAGAGGAGCGTTCTTCCACACAACATTTATTCACGAACACCAAAGACGTTTATTGGTGATACATCAAAGACTGATACGTAAGACATATATTATGACATCACAGTTCTTTTTACAAACAAAACTACTACCGCCATCTATTGGCAATCTAAGGATATATACTCATAAACTTAACACTTCCCCCCCCCATGCATCTGTAAACGGATGCATCAATTTTACTTGAACTTCAAGATTATAAAGTTCTTTCAATTGGTTTTCTAACAACACCCTTATCCAACTGAATCTCACAAGATCTAATTCGATCATCTCTTCCATGAAATAATTCCTTAATCCTACCTATCTTCCAGTTACAGCGTTTCACATTATCTTCTCGTACAAGTACAACATCATTAATTTTAAAACACGGGAGAATTCTTTGGAGTTTTTGAAAACATGACTGATCTAATTCTAACAAAGTTCTTTATAAAAAACTTTTCCAAAAAGCTCTAATATTAATTGCCTATGCTTCCATCTTTTAATCAACTGAGATCTTGTAGATTCTAGTTTAGATTCAGGTGAAGGTAAAAAACAGTCAATCTAGATCCAGTTATAAAATGAGATGGTGAAAAGAGGATCAAGTTCTCATTTGGTTCATTGTATACATACGTTATAGGTCTAGAATTAATAACAGCTTCAAATAAAACAGTATACAGTTTCTTCATAATATAAAGAAGCTTTACCTAAGATACGTTTTAAACAAGTTTTTACAGATCTTACCAAACGTTCCCAGAATCCGCCCCACCAAGGAGCACCTTTACAATAAATTTCCATTCAAACCCATTTTTACCAAGGAAATTTAGAACCTTTTCAGCTTTACATAATTTATACAAATATTTAATTCACGATCAGCAGTTTTAAAGGTTTAGCATTATCAGAATATATAACTCTACAAATTACCCCTACGTGCAAAAAATCTACGTAAGGCTTGAATGAAACACTCTGCTACTTAAATTTGATACAATTCTAAATGGACTCCTCGAGTCACTGCACAGGAAACAATGAAATATACACTTTTGTACCATCCTTTAAATACAAAGGGCCAGCAAAATCTATGCCTTACCTCAAAATGGTTGACTTTCTCCACTCAGTCAGCTGGAAGAGGAGCCGATATCTCGGTCCAGCTTTAGCATTATATTTTTTACAAAATCACAATCATGTAACACAGATTTTACAAAAACGTCTAGCTTTTAAAATCCAAAATTTCCCTCTTACTTGCACTAAAGTTTCATTTACACCACTATGAAGTACCTTTCATGACAATTCAAAACAATTTTTAAACGAGAAAAATAATTATTTGGTAATAATTATAGGCTGAATTTCACCGACACCTAATGATGATTTTACTAATCTACTCCCAACTCTTAAACAATTTTCATCTATTACTGGATTTAACCCAAACAATTGGAATTATGAGACAATGGATTTTTACATTTAACATCATTCAATTCTGTAGAAAAATACTCACCTTGTGATAAGTTAATCCAAAAACACATAGCATTACATATTTCACTTTTGATCACAGGACCAATCACTCTATTCTGTGACTTCAAATTATTAATGAATTTAAATACATATGACGTAACTCTTAAAAGTTTACCTAAGTCACCAAAATTCTCTATTTTTAACACAGGCTGTAAAGGTTGAATTCTGCTAGCAACTTGAGTCACGACTCTTTCTTCAACACTATCTACTACGTTATAATGCTCGTTCACTTTAGACCAATTTATTTCATCTTTATGAAGCCATTGGAGGTACATGCCACCACACCTGATCTACTACAAACTCACTCACTTTAACACCACGTGTGATTTTATCGGCAGGATTCTGGGATCCTAGACAATGATGCACATACTCGGGATGCTTTGTCTTGAATTTCTGATACTCGATTTTGTACGAATGTTTTCCATCGCCGTGGTGAGTTCTTTATCCAGAGAAGCACAATAAGAGAATCTGTCCATAAATGAATCTTAGCTTGAGAAAATGCACACGGACTGTAGTTACAAGTCTGCACTAACACTGCTGCCATAAGCCGAGTCTTGGTAAGATAATTTTTCAGGGGAAGCCACTCTGCTCTTGGCTATCACTAAACTTTTCCACATATTTTAAGCTACGGAATTTCACGTACACTGCTCTCCGTAAGCACTTTGGATGAATCACAAAAACAATGTAGTTCTAGATTTCAGGTGTTTCATCAAATCACGAAAAGACCACCGAGGTATATGGATATTAGGTAGATCACATAGTTGCTATACCATTTATTCCACTTGTCTTGCAATTCTGGTGGGATAATTTCATCCAATCACACCTTTCAGCCATAAATCCTGAAACAGAATTTTGCTTGAAGAAAACATGGAGCAAGAAACCCAATAGGATCGAAGATTTTGAAGCAGCTTTTAAAACACAACGTTGTTTGGTCATTTGACTGGATGAATCAATAACGTCTTTAGCCTTAAAACAGAGATATCCTTAATTGTATCCCATTGAAGTCCAAGAATCTTTGAGGGGGAA